CAACAACTAATGAGATCAATGAGATTAATATTGTGAAGAATATTGGAATCATCAAGGCGGCTGATGGTACCTACAGGTATACTGATGACGGTCCTGTCCATCACGCTTATCCAATGCCTGAAGGGGGTCTTACCAGTGAGTTTCTCTACACAGCCATGATGAACCAGCATCGAGAATCCATGAATATGCATAGAGAGACCTCCCGAGCAATTGCCTCCCTCAGAAACCTCATTCTTAACCCTCCACATTCCAACACCCGAGTTGTGGACGACGAGATTGAAGAAGAGGTTGATAGTGATGAAGAAGAAGAGGAGGAGGATATGGAGGATGAGGATTTTTAGAGAATATGTTGCTGCTGTTATTTTTATTGCTTTGCTTTCTAGTCTTAAGTTTTTATGCTTTCATTTGAACTATGTTTTATTGTAACAAGTACAATTTCTATTTGCTGCATTTTATATGTACTACTGTTTGTGCTTTGTGTTTACTTGGCTTTGCATGTGCTTATTACTATATATGCTGCTATCTTGTGATTTCTTTGAAAGCTCTTCCTTTTTGCTGATGTCAAAGGGGGAGAAGAGCTTGGTTCTGTTAATGTCTCTCTGTGTGCAGATTTTTTTCCTCTGTTAAAATAGGGGGAGTTGCTAGACATAGGGGGAGAACCAGATCAAGAACCAAGAGATATCGCACAACATTTTTGATTGCCATCATCAAAAAGGGGGAGAAAGTAGAAGCATGCTTCAGTCCCAAGTTTTGATGATGTCAATACTACTCAAGATCATCTCTTGATTGCAAAAAGACAAGTCGTTCAAAGTTCTCAAGATCAAAATCAAGATATCTTTCAAGTCAAGCTACATATGGAACTATGATTCTTCCAGACTTGGCTGCATTACCGGTATATCAAATTCTACCCTTATAATTTTATATACAAGTGTTCAAAAACATCAAGCATTTTTTACATAATACATAAGCATGTTTTTGAAACTTTAGAATTGGTATAACATTAATTTTAAAAAGCATTTTTCTAACAATTAGCAGTGTTAACCGATTAACCATATAGGTTAACCGGTTAACCAATTTAAAATTTGAAATTTCTGGGCTAACGTACCAGTGTTAACCGATTAACCATATGGGTTAACCGATTAACACTGAACGTACTATGAAAAATTGCTTTGTTTCAAGTTCAAAAATTATTTAAAAATTATACCATTTCATATTTTTGATGTCTACTCAATGTACCTTTATGAAAGGGTATTTTACTCATATATATTCTGAGTTTTTCAATTTTGAAAAATATATAGAACACAACACAAAAAACTTTTCAATCTCCAAACACTTTCTACATTCATTTTCAAATTGTCTTAGAATCAAATTCACCATTTTCAAAAACTTTCATTAAGTGTTCATATGTGCATAAATTTCATATTCATCCTTGAACACTTGTATTGAAAATTGTAAGAGTGAATTCTGATCATTTGGAGAAGATCAACTTTGATATCATTACTCTCAAATCAAAATCTTTACAAACTTGTGTATTTTGACTTGTGATCCAGGATTGTTGGACACAAGGGTGAGTGTTTACAAGAGGATTGTTCTTGTACACTTGTTAGTTTTATTGTTTGATAGTAGGCCTCACCGGTTGATGGTGTGATAGGTTGTACTTTATTAAACAATAGTGAAAACTCTCTTTCATGTTGAAAGGGGAGTGGAGTACTCTCGGATTGTGAGGGGAACCACTATAAATCCTGGTGTCCATTGTTCTTTTATTTTTCTTCTTCTGCTTTCATAACCAAAAACAAACCAGTAATCTTTCAAGGTACCATAAAAACCGGAAAAATTTCTAAAGTCCTAATTCACCCCCCCCCCCCCCCTCTTAGGCATATTCTGTTCTTACAAAAGTCAGTCTCCGTATTTGAATATATGATGTTGTTCCACATATCCATAATGTGTTCATGCCTATGTGATTCAACGTATTCCTTACACTTCATACTTATATTTTTTTTTTAAGTATGGAACATACACAACAAATGAGTTTAGTTTGGAAACACAACTTTCACAACATTCATCAACGTCAGTTCATGGTCAATAACCAAAACATTTGGTAGCAACTTCTCATAAGTGAACAACTCTTTTAGGTTTTTAAGTGCCCACGTGAAGTTTTCCTCCCTTTCATGTTCCAGATATGAAAAATCAACCGAATATGTCAACTTCATGGATGTAACACCAAAAATATCAAGTTGTGGTAGCCAGTATCTGTTTTTTTTGTACGAACATTAAATCATTACCAACCCAAACAACTTCCAAAACAAATAATTAAAATAGAAACATTTGGCATAAGAAGTACCTGTTTGTTTTGTTTGTGCAATCAAAAATCAACACAAGACGAAACATGTTCAACAAATTCACTAAATCAGGGTGTGTCCAAACGATATCAGCAATAACATCGGAAGAGTCATTGTTTCTTGTCAAGTACATGTATTTATCTTCATGAATAAGACTCATCATATGTTGTATTTCACTCAACGAACATCTCTTGCTCGCATTGTATGTAAACTTAGCCTTATAGACCTGGGTAATGCTCGTTAGATTTTTTAGATCTCTATCTTTCAAAGCAACAACTATGTATCTAGAAGCCATATTGTATTTGGTCATGTCATTCACAAACTTTATTCCATGATCTTTTAAACGACCTAATATGTCATTCTCATTTAAGCCCTTAGCTAGCATATGATTGTGAAACTCATACCTGACCATAACCTTCCAACCGTTTCCACTTGGCACAGATCTCAACATAAATTAGGGATGGCAATGGGCAGGGTTTGGGTAGGGTACTATAGTACCCGTCCCCATACCCGCAGTTGGAAAAAATCCACGTACCTAAGCACATACCCACTTGGGTATCAACATTGGCACTCGAACTCGTACCCTATGGGTATATAAATACTTGTACCCATACCCGTTACCCGTATTTCTAATAAAAATAAATATATCAATTATAAAATATCATATTATTTTAAGTTTTTAAAAACATTACAAAGTTTTTAAAAAAATTATTATTGAATTATGAAATAAATGGTCACTTATATTAAATATGTAATGGTTAAAATTAATGTTTTTTTAAAATTTTACAAACATTTATTTTTATATATAATAATATAAATTAAAATATATAAATATATATTGTGCGGGTATGGGGTGGGGTGGGTACTAAGGTGCTCATACCCGCACTCATCCCCACTTATTTAAGTGGGCAATTACCCGAGCTCATGCTCGTATCCAATTTTGCGGGTTTTTACTCTACCCATTATGGATAATTTTGTATGTACCCACTAGGGATGGGTCAAATTGTCATCCCTAGCGTAAATGGACATATCACTTTCATAGTATAATTTTTTGCAAGCACGGTCTTCTTGTAATTTCTTCCTCTTTCAACATCCATAATCAATTTATCTTTTCTCCTTCTCATTTCATTTGCGGTATCATAACGAATAGCAACAGCAACAATACCATGTTGTTTACCAACGGACTGCACCCATGCCAAAACGTAAGCACGAGAAGAGAATATTTGACATTTACAACGTATACAAAATAAACTATCAATGAACGAAATATCATAAATAAGGACTGCACAATTATGTAAAAAGTACATTTATGTAAAATATATCGCATTGGTGGTGAAAAACTAAGTAAAATTCACTTGGGAACCATCAGAAACAAGACCGCACAATTGGAGCATACTAAACTATCAGATTTTTTTGTCTATGTTTCCGAATTTTTTAAAATCTCCATTAATAACATCAAAAATTTTACAGATTTCATCCTTTTTGAAAAAATCGATAAAACTACAAAAGATTTCGGATGTTTCTCAAAAACCCAATAAAAATTCAAGGGATTTCCATATTTTTCCAAAAAATTCGCTAAAACTTCAAATAAATTTTGGGTTTTTAAAAAAAAATCCAATAAAACTGCATAATAATTTCGAGTATTTGTCAAAAATTCGTTAAAACTTCAACGAATTTCTGAATATTTTTATAAAAAAAAAACAAATAAAACATCATATCGGATTTTTGTACTTAATATTTTAAAAGAACTAACAGATATTTTGTATCTATCAAATTTTTACAGAAAATTTTTTTTACAACAGTGCAAAAATTTAGAAGATAAAATAATGTTAAAGATAAATTTATTTATATAAAAAATTGTGGGGTTGCCATGTACAATTCAGATGGTGGCAGAAAATTCCTCCATCCTCAAGAGAAAAAAAAGGAGTCCCACTAAAACTAAAATTCAATAATTAATAAAACCCAACCAATTATTATTATAATTAAAGGTCGTACTCAAATACTTCTAAATTATTCAACCCATAGTTGAATGTCATGAGTCACTTGTATCATGCCAGTAGCCATCCATCAGTCTCATTAAAAGATAGTATGTTCTGTAATATTTTTCAATCACAAGTAAAGATAGCAAAAAAATTTCAAACATACTATTAATAATTAGTATCAAATAAAATTGGAATTTGATTAACTTGAGTGAATTAACTAGTCCACAGATATTCTAAACCTTCTCTTTACATATTCTGGTAATCTCACAACCATCCTTATCAACAAAAAAAAATGGTCGAATTTCAATAAGTTTGAAAAGAACAGAAAAAACATTTAAAATTAAATATGACCCCATGATAAACCACCAAGTTATCAAGCACATTTTTATCACTATAATGCAAGCATTTGATGCACTAATGCAAATGATTTTGTTTCAAAGTGCAACACTTTCAAACTAGAATATACTGAACCCTCCACCATACCATTACCATCTATTTACTTATATATATTGTTTCAAGCATTCTCCTATTACAGCATAAATATAACATATATTCTACCAACATGGGTTTTTACACACATTGTTCCTTCCTTTACATCCAAAATACCTTATCCAACAAAATAAAACCACCAAAATTGTGTAAATTAACAACAACCCGTGGCATTAAAAGTGGTAAATCTTCAGGGCTTATCAGATTCAGGACCATGATTGTGTGTGGCCAATCCAATACCTTCATTTTGGTGCTTCTCCCAGAAGCCAGTGTCGGCCTTACAGTGTGCCCAATAGTACAAAATGGAAGCCAACATAGAGAACAAGGTCAAGGCAGCCCCAGCAGCAAATACACCCTTGCGAAGAGTGGCGCAAGACAAGTCATGCTTTGTAAAATATCCTTGGTATTTTGTGTGGTATGCATTCCGCGCAGACCCTGCTAATAAGCACGCCTCTGCTCCCAAAAAACCAAGCCTGATTTTATCACAACAATAATAAAAATCATTGTTAATTTTATGCGACACTTCAGGTTGAAATCCTGTCTTACTAGTTACAACCCTGAGTTCAATACAGATTTTGCTTATCTTTTTTAAACTAAAACTTCAAACTTTATACTAGAGATAAAAGTATTAGAGGACAAGGTTAATTAGTTATTTGATATTAGTGACAAAGTTAATATCAGCTAACAGAGTGGAACGGAACAAAGCGGATAACTCATTCCATTGTTTGGATATTTTAAGATAGAATGTAACAAAAATGTTATTCAGCCCAAATCGAAAGGAAGAAAAATGAGGATAAGTAATGGAATTAGATAAAATTCATTCCATCCTGTTTCGTTTCATTATACCCTCTTTTTACCAATCCAAACAATGAAACATAACTTTATTCCATTCTGCTTCATTTCATAGCATTCCATCAATTCAAACATAGCCTAACAAACTAACTAACTAATTTTATCTCTAGTATCAAAGAAATTTAATCTCTAATTCTTGGAATATATACCGTCTGATCTCGATATACCGATATAACAACCACCAATATGTTCAAATTATGACCTATGTCTACATGAAAATGATTCATGGATTTCTACCCAATCCAATACTATACGAACTCAAACCAAAAGCCAAATTCCAATCCGTTATATCGGTATAAACTTTATTATATACGATTAAATCTATCTAGAGAATATGTAAAAAAAAATACAAACAAATATAAGAGATAGGGTTTTTAAACAAAAACTTATGATAATTGGAACGTTACCATGAAAGAACGAAGAAGGTAACCGCACAAGTAGTGGAACAACCGGAGACAAGACCTTTACCGCAGCAGAGACATCTAGTAACAGCGTAAAGGATAGCTTGACTGAGGAGCAGGAGAGAGCAGGCGGCGAGACCGTAAACAGTAGAAGCGTCGGTGGTGTAACGACAGAAAGATCGGTCGTCGTACTCATCGGGAACCACCGTAGCCTGAACGGAATCAACGAGATTTGAGGAAGAAACAAAAAAAAATCAAAATTAGCAGTGTGAATAGGATTAGGGATTACCTGACTACGACGTCGTTCGGCGCCGATAGCGAAAACGAAAGCGAAGAGGTGCAGAGAAACGATGGCTACTATAAGAGTAATTGAAACTGCCATGATTTTGGTCTTCAATTTGATTCAACAAACAACTAACTAACCCTTTTTCTTTCAGAGTCACTCACTTCACTCTCCAGTGTGTGTTTCTCTTGCTTTCGGTATTTTTAAGTAAAATATCGGTCAACTTTATTTTATTTATTTTCTTCCTTTTTAGTTTCTATTCCCATTTCTCTGTTCTTAATCCACTTTTTTTTTCTTTCTATCCTTTAGCTTTTTCCTTTTCCTTCTATTTGAAATCCTCAATTTTTGAATTTTTAGTTATCAATTATATTTTATAAATATATTTATCTTTAAAATAGCTTGATAAACGTTATTTTCTTAATAATTTATAATTTATAGTTTTTTATATAAATTAATTTATTAGTTAAAGTTTTAACTTTTTTTTTTCAATTGTATCTTTATTATTTTAATTGAAAATTTTTAATATTAATTAAACATCAATTTTTTATGCCATTTCGTATGTATAAATTAATTCAACAATTAAATTTATTAAATATTATAAATGTAATTCTTTTTTATAGTAAAGCAGATCAAATTATATATAGTAAAAAAAGGAGAAATTAGTATGAGTTACAATTAAAATTATCAGCTATACACTAGAGAAAATAATTTGTTAAACAAATGTTAAGAAAAGAGAAAATCTGTCAAACCAAAACCACTAAAAAATAGTCGCTCCGTCCATATTAAATAAAAATTAAGTTGAAGGAAGGTAAACGCAATCACATGAAAATATAATGAAAGACATCTAGCAGTCTTCATGTAGTTTATGGTAAAGGAATACATTTAATGTTGGAGGATGGTGATAACCATTGTTCATGCAATCCTAGAACTTTCTTCTTCTTTGTTTCGTTATTCTGTCTATAGTTATTTCAATTGTATCTTAGAAATTCCATCTACACCAACTCCAATCTCATAGGAGGCACCTCTAAAACAACAAAAGACGTTTACAAAGGTGGTAAACAACATATGCAACATATTGGTTAGTCAATTTCCAGCACCTTGTGTCAAAGGAGATATAGGCTTGTTATTGTGATACAAGAGTAGGAATAGATTCTTGGAGTAGAATCATGTAAGCATAACCTACATGGGCGTGTGATTTGGTCAAAAGGATCCTCGCCATTAAACGCTATCGCCCTAAAAGTAAGCCCATGGAGCTCTGGAAATCAATTGGCAAATGGGGAATCACCTCCTTAAGCAAAGGATATTTTGAGATTATTTTTTCTTCTTTATAGGATATGAGAATAGTTAAGTATATTAACTCATGGAACATCAACCCTAGTTTTCTTAAACTTTTTCCATGTAGCAAGGACTTCAACCTTAGCTTCTTGAAGCAAACCTTGGCTTAGGTATGAGTGAAAATTCATGGTTTGTCTCAAGAGTATTGGAGGTCAATAATTCTATTTGTTATTGCTAACAATATCGGGACACCGTTATGCACAGACTCTGCCACAAGTAAATGTTATTTTGATAGATCTTTTGATCACTTTGTGAAAGTGTTAGTGGACGTGGACCTAACAAAAGAGCTAAGATATCAAGTGTTAGTCGAAGTACTAATTTAGGTGAACCTAACAATTCCAAGGAGAATAGTAACCTTGCAGAAGATGAAAACCCTTCCCTTGAGGCAGCACTTGCAACTCAGATGCCTAATGTGGAGAAACAATTAATCCATATGCAAGTGGACCAATGGATTCAAATTTCTTCCTTCACTAACTCAGAATATATTGAAGCTACTATTAGAGTGCAAGATGTAGACCCCCTTGACAAGATGGACTTGGACATGATTAGACAAAAGAATGGAGCCTTAATTTCCAAATCATATGCCAACATGGCTGACTAAGAAGTGGATATCAACTCTGAAGACAATAATGATCGGTTCCAATCTATTAGATCTAGGAAGAATAGAAATCGTCAAAGAAAAACTGCTCACACAACTAGGTCAAGGTTTGGTAAGACAATGAGTTTGTTTCTAAAAGAGTTAGGAGGAAAACTCTTTTTAAGTAGTTAGAAATTTTAAGTTGTATGAAAATATATTATTGGTTTAAACAATAATTTGAGTTTTTTGGATGCTTCATTAGACTAATATATAATTTTATTTTTGATGTGTTATTTTAATCATTAATTTTTTTAAATTAAGCCTATTTATTAAATTAGAACAGGACCTCCAATTTGATTGGATCAGTCGACGTTCTAATCTAGAACTCAAGTTCACAACAGCTATGATAGTTTATGGGTAATGACTCGATGGTAGCACTTGGTTAGGTATCTCCAACCCTATAGGGGGTAATGTTTTAATATATAGCTCAAGTTCACAACAGCTCCAACAAATCAATGGGTAACAATGCTTCGGCGACACTTTGTTGAAATTTTCATATTTAATCTCGAAGGAGGGATTCATAAATAATACTTTGAAACTTAAGTTAGTATGAGTTATGTGTATAAATTTTTAAGCTATGTTTATTGAGATTGTAATTCTTTGTGTCGAAGCAAATGTAACTCGACAGAAACAAGGATGTGTCAAAATTAGTCTTGTGTGTGTATGTGTGTTTTGAGTTGTGTTAGATGTTAAGTATCGAAGCAGGTTGCTTGGCAGAGGATTTCGACTTAGACCAAAATAGAAATTTTGGGCTTTACCTTAGGGAGCAAGGTAGCTCAATAATAAATAGAGGGAGTAACCCCTATTTTGAGTAAGAAAAATGGAGAATAATATTATAACACGCAACTGAAAGTACAGTTGCGCAGTTGAATAATATTTTCTCTGTTTGAGAGCAAAGAGTTACTTTGTATTAACCATATTTTCTTCCCCTATTTTGTCAAACCTTAATCCTCTTCCTTATTCAATTTTCTTTCTTCTTTCATTAACAATTGTCCGCAGAATCATCCTTGCAATCAAGGTGTGATTGTTTCACTTGAGTGAAGAATGAAGAACAAGAGATTTTGATCGGTTGATTGAATCTTGTTCATCAAGATTGATTCGGAATTTTTAATTTTTGGTTTAATTCCAACGTCTGGTATCAGAGCACTGGTTGAGCGATTCGTGGGAAAAAAATCATGATTGCCATGAATCATCCAAACAGACATTTTTTGGCGAGTCTTCTGATTCTCAAGAAAAATAATTATGAAAATTGGTGCAAGCAAATGAAGCTTTGTTTTATCAAGATCTTTGAGATCTTATGAAGAAAAGAGTAACACCGCTTGTAGAAAACGCGATGGGTCAAGCAAAGGCTGCATACAAAGAATTGAATAAGAAAGATTATAAAGTTCTCCTTATAATTCATCAATGCGTCGATCCAGATAATTTTGGAAAGGTTAGTGATGTAGAATCAGTGAAAGAAGCATGGAAAATCTTGGAGAAATCGTTTGGAGACGTAGAGAAGGTCAAAGAGGTGAGGTTACAAACTCAAAAAGGATGTATGAATTTCTTAAGATGGAAGAAAGTGAAAGCATAACTGATTTTTTCACTAGGGTTACTAAATTGGTGAACCAAATTAAGGTATGTGGAGAAGTGTTGATATTAAGATCAGTTGTTGCAAAGATATTGAGGTCATTGGCTCCAAAGTTCGACCTCATGGTAGTAGCCATAGAAGATTCGAATAAAATAGACAAAAGAAAAGTTTCACGGGTCGCATGAGTCACATGAACAAAGGATGGTTGAAAAAGTTGCAGGAAATTCGAAGAGTGATTTGGCTTTGCAGGCGCAATCAGCAAAGGAAAAGAAAGGCAAAGGAAGTTGGAATGACAATAAAGGCAGAGAAGGCTGCAAGAAGGAAACTGGTCGAATTAGAAAGAAAAAAACCTGGAACCAAGACAACCAAAGAGGTGGTGTTGCAGGTAGAGGAAGAGGTGGTGGTCGAAAATCTGACAAAAGTTACATTCAGTGTTACAATTGTCAGAAGTATGGTCATTATTTTAGTTATTGTTTTGAAAAATAGAAGAATCAAGAAACTGATGCAAAGCTGGCGAAACATGAAGAAGAAGAGATGCTACTGATGGTCACAACAAGAGATGAAGAAAGATTCTAGGACCAATGGTACTTGGACTCAGAATGCTCATCACACGTGACTAGTAGGAAAGATTGATTTGTCAACATAAAGCCCTCAATGAAGAACATGGTGAAATTTGCAAATGACAATACTCTAGCAGTTGAAGATATTGGTAATGTTCTGATTATGAAGAAAGATGGTAAGAGGTCAGTAATTTTTAATGTATTGTACATACCTGGCATGAAGTGTAATTTGCTCAGCATAGGGCATCTGGTCGAAAAGAACTAAAGGGTGTCAATTGAATACAAGATGATGAGAGTACTTGACTCAAATGAAAGGTTTATCTTGAAGGATCCAATGTCTCAGAATAGAACCTTCAATATTGAGCTAAATGTGATGGAGCATAAGTGCCTTGCAACTGCAGCCAGCAGAGATGAATGGATATAACATTATAGACTTGTCCATCTCATCTTCAAAGACATCAAAGATTTGAAGAGAAGAAATATGGTTTCAGAATTACCAGAAATCGATATTCCAAGTGAAGTGTGTGAAGAATGTGTTCAGGAGAAACAACACAAGAATCACTTCAGCAAGGATGCACAAAGCAAGTCGAAGGCAACTCTTGAAGTCATATACTCTGATGTATGTGGTCCTATCCAGGTAGATTCAATTGGAGGTAATAGATACTTTGTCACGTTCATAGATGATTTTAATCTAAAACTGTAGACTTAACTAATCAAGAAGAAAATTGAAGTGATCGAGGCATTTGCCAAATTTAAATCTATGGTCGAAAGGCAAAGTGGTCGAAAGCTAATTATGAGGATTAATGGTGGTGGAGAGTGTGTTTCGAAATATTTCGATGCATTATATGAGAAAGAATGGACTGCACATGAGGTGGTGACACCCTACACTCCACAGCAGAATGGAACTGCAGAAAGGAAGAATAAAACCATCATGAATATAGTGAAAAGCATGTTGAAAGGAAAGCATCTACCCAGAGAATTATGGGGAGAAGTTGTG